ACTGTGAAGTCGCCCCTCATGGAGCTCTCTGGGATTGTTACCACTCCAATAGCGCATATTCTGCTTGTTGACATATCTGGATAGGTGAAAATGTGCCTCATCACTAAAGAAAACAAGTGCGTCAGGGAGTAAAGTTTCCAATAATGTTTCGCATGCCGTTATTTGGTTCTGGAAATCACGTGGTGACAATTCTTGCACAACAACCATCTTATAGGGATGGAAATGAAGATGTTCATGAAGAATTCGGCGCATTGAACGATTGGGTATGTCTAGGGCGACTGCATGTTTGCGAGCAGAGCGTCTTGGAGATCTCAAAATCGACTGTCGAACTGCCTCCACATTTTCTGGCATCGTAACGATCCGTTGTCGTCCTGATGATTTTTTCACCACACTCCCGGTTGTCCTAAAGTTCTCTACCCACAAAACAATCAATTTCCGGTCGGGAACCGGACCTCTGGGCTTAATTCCGAAGTGAGTATGGAACGCACGCTGCACCGCCACGTAGGAATGGTTGTCTGAAAAATAGGCTTCAACAGCAAACGCACGCTACTCACTCGTCCACCTCATGTTTCCTACTGAGGGGTATGAGACAGAAACTTCGGCAGCTGCTGTGTTCGCCAAGCTTATCCCCATTTTTCTGCGACCTCCCCTCCCTTCACAATGCATCTTCACAAAAAGGAAGTTTCTGCACCCCACCCTGTATTATGAAGGTACAGTATTACAGTACTACTTTTAATAAAATTTGTCTTAACCGGGTTTTTGATTAATCGTGATTTCCATCCCTACCATTATCCCGGATAATCGAGAGTTGAGTGTATTTCACAAAGCTCATGCAACTGCACAAAGTGTGATGTGGAAACTGAGTATCTTCTTGAAAGAAGTGTACCATGAATGCTTCAACAAATGGCAGGATAACTGAAATCACTGTAAACAATCAGTGGGAGATAATTAGGTTTTAGTTTCACCTTTAGTTTCACACCCAAAAATTAAATCCCTACATCTCTTAACACTTCGCGGACCAGCGATTTAAATATTTAAATCACCCTGGGGACCGGCATTTTTAAACCTACTACCCTAACTTGTGCACTGTTCACTTTAAAAATTAATATAAAATTCCCTAATTAATTTCATGAACTAACATTTTTGGAGAACACTTACCAATGCTCCTAGAAGTGCTTGAGAGTGTGATATTTCTGAAGACATTCCCCTTTGTGAAGTGGTATTACACACAACTTGCACATGTACACAGTCATACTCCTTTTGTTGTGTACTGCGCAAACACGGCATCGCCTAGAAGGCTGCTTCCCCTTGGCATGTTCACTCTTCACATTTTTCATAAAAACTGAGGTTCTGAACTCTTAACTTTGCCATAATAAGCATATTCCTCATGAATCACATGTCTGGGTGGAAACATATTCACTGTCTGTGGCCACAATTTTTTGTTTGCCCCTGCCACACTCACTATCAGAGTACTATCACTTCAATGTATCACTTAGAATTCAACCAATATACTGAACATAAGAATGGACAGTATTAACTTTGCCATAATTAGCATATTCCTCATGAATCACTAGTCTGGGTGGAAACATGTTCACTGTCTGTGGCCACAATTTTTTGTTCGCCCCTGTCACACTCACTATCAGAGTCACTATCACACTCATCGGAGAACAAGTAAGATATTACTTGTTCTCAGAGAAAACGCTTGGACCTCAACCTCTTCAGACCTTGATCCATTTTGCACTAGTAACTTTCTACCTGGTGCATGCAGCTGGAAGATGAACAAAGGCATTTTTTTCTAGTGGGAAAGGAAAACAGTTTGGTCATAAACAAGGGGGTCATGTTACTGACTATGAAGCAAATTTTCAAGAGGTCTATCACATACCAGTCGTGCGTATGCTTGGCGCCAGTGCAAGGTATAGTGTTTCAACAAAACGTGTCCTAAAATCATAAAAATATGCCCCCGGTCCGCCACATTTAAAATCGCTGGGCATAAAAATATGCCACCAGTCTGCAAAGTGTTAATTAGGCCTTGTATTTAGGCACAACACAAATTTATGCTAAAACATAAAAGTAAACAGAAGGTGATACTGCAAAAATTTGAGGCAATCAGGAAAATAGAATGATGAGTAGATCTGCCAAATTGGTTAGAGAATTTGAAGATCCTCTAGGAAATGAATTTCAAGTTGCAGCATTCCAGGATGAAAGCAAACAGAAGGGAATTAAAAAAACTGTAACAAAATATGGAATAAAAGGGAGATGTAAGGATTTTGGTACACAGAATTTGAATATAAAAATGGATATTATTAGTACATAAGTGCAATTAATATAATAAATGATAGCCATGTCAGCAGGCTTGAAATGCATAATTAGACAGTGTAAAAACAAAAATTAAAAAAAGATAATTGCATTTACCTTCCACAAGCTGAATATCTTTCAGTTTGTTTTTCAGTGATGTCTTGCCTGAACCCACAGGCATTCCAGCACTCCACCAGTCTTGAAACCTCCGAAGGCCTCTCAAAATATTATCATCAGTGCCACCAGCAGGAAATGCTGCTAGGATTTCTAATGCAGTAACTGGCCCCACACCCTGAATTCCTGGTGTGTAGTCACTACCAACCAGCAGAGCAAGCAGGATCAACTGTTGTCGTTCAAGCTCTGAATAACACAATCCACACGCAAATTATATCCTCCTTCATGGTAAAAGGAGATTAGTAACTCTGAAGAATATTATTCTATTAAGGGAGAAGGTTAACATGACCAAATCCTGCAGAAATGATGGGACATCTTGTCTAGAAGAACAATTATTGTGTTTCTGGACACCAGCCATGGTCCTGTTTTTATTTTAAACAACACACGGTGGTTCAGAGACTGAATTCTGTCTCCATCTTCAGGTGGAACCTACTCAGTTGAGCCCAACTGATATAGCAAGTCCTTACCTCCAAACACAGAACCAACAAAAGATAGGGTACATAAACGAGGCACAGCATAAACTTTAAGACAAACATTAAAATCGTTAAAAAAACACTACACATTTAACGTCTGTCTTAACCTAGCAGATAGTTTGTGCTGTGATTAGTTTATATATCCTATCTTGTGTTGGTGCTGGTGTTTGGAGACAGGGACAAGTTATACTGATTGTGCCCAATTAAGTAGGATCCACCTGAAGACAGAGATAAAGCCCAGTCTCTAAAAGAGTGTGTTGTTTTAAATAAAACAGGGCCATGGCTGGTGTCCAAAAACACAGTAATTGTATTTATATACCACTGTCACAAACTTCTAGATATCATTTGTAGAAAAGTTCTTTTTTCCCATATAAATTACCTATAAGTAAAATACAGGGTTATTCAAAAAGAATGAACCAATTTCATGACGCATTGCTTCAGTTCTCAAACATCGTCACGGAATGGAGTCAGTGACCATTTGAAAGAGGAGTTATCTACGTTGTGAATGGCTGCCACAGGGGCGCTGAAGTCGCATCGTTCTTCCAGCAACATTCAGTTGTTCGTTTACCCTCGGAATGGCAAGTCCTCAGCAAAAGGCATTCTGCATTCTCGAGTTCGCGAAAACAAATTCGGTTGTCACGGTGCAGCATGCTTTTCGAAGGCAATTCAGCATTAATCCGCCCTGTCCTAAGAACATTCGATGGTGGTTTCGATAGTTTCAAGAGAGTGGGTGTCTGTGTAAAGGAAAAAGTCCAGGAGACCAGGAGTCTCGGAGGAACGAGAATCCGTGATGTGTTTAAGAGGAGCCCGCGGAAGTCAACAAATCGAGCTAGCCATGAGCTTGCGATCCCTCAATCCACTGTCTGGCATGTGCTAACAGTACATCTACATTTGAAACCATACAGACTGCAGCTCGTTCAGGCACTTACCAATGACAACAAAAGGAACCGGATGGAATTTTGCGATTCGATGCTGGAGATGATGGAAGATGAAACCTTCATTTCACAATATTATATTTAAGCATCCTGTTGCACTCCATACGATACATGATACAAACTCCATCTTCAGTGCAAACCATATATTATAGGTCTTTCATTTTGCTCTCCTTTACAATCTACATGTTTCGGCCACAAACGGCCATCACCAGGTGTATTACTCACATATCTGTCACACTGCGCTTAGTTTTACATTTAAAACTTAAGAACACAGGTCTTCCTGATTGTTCGTTTCGTCGTTATTACCAAAATCTACCTCGTTGATATCTTTGTTATTTACACACGTCAATTTTGATTTCTCTGAATTAGCACTTATAAAATCTTAGTTCTAATTTTGAAATCTTTTCAATGTTCCTCTAAATTTTAAATTTTAAATTGTCAGGGTTACTCGCCCTATGTCTATAGTGCTGCAGTGGCTACACTCTGTGCACGTGCCACTGCTTGTCTTTACTACTACATGTAGTAAAGACAAGCAGCAGCACGCACACAGAGAGACTACACAGAATAACACGGGTACCGTACTAGAAACAAGAAGTAGCCGCTGCAGCATTACAGACATAGGGCGAGTAACCCTGACAATTTTAAATTTAAAATTTAGAGGAAAATTGAAAAGATTTCAAAATTAGAACTGAAGATTTTATCAGTGCTAATTCAGAGAAATCAAAATTGATGTGTGTAAATAACAAAGATATCAATGAAGTAGATTTTGGTAATAACAACGAAAGGAACAATTAGGAAGACCTGTGTTTTTAAATTTTAAATGTTAAACTAAGTGCAGTGTGACAGATACGTGAGTAATACACCTGATGATGGTTGTTTGTGGCCGAAACATGTAGAGTGTAAAGGAGAGCAAAACGAAAGACCTATAATATATGGTTTGCACTGAAGACGAAGTTTGCAACATGTACCTTAATTTCACGTTTAATTTTTAGTGGTGAAGTGACTTTTCACTTGAGTGGCACAGTCAATCGTCACAATGTGTGTATTTGGGGAACAGAGCACCCACATGAAACAGTTGAGCACAAAAGAGATTCCCCTAAGGTGAACGTCTTCTGTGCTGTCTCTCAGGACAAGGTTTATGGTCCCTTTTTCTTTGAAGAAAACACCGTTACAGGACAAATCTATCTCGATATGCTCCAAAACTGGCTCTTCACTTCACTGCAAGCAGATTCGCATGACTTCATTTTTCAACAAGATGGAGCACCGCCCCATTGGCACCTGATGGTCCGAGCTTTTTTAAATGAAAAAGTGCCCCAGCGATGGATTGGTCAGAAGGGGGCCCAAGACCTTGCTCTTTGCGCTTGGCCTGTCAGATCCCCAGACCTCACCATGTGTGATTTCTTCTTGTGGGGATATGTAAAAGATCACGTTTATGTTCCACCGCTACCCACTAACCTCGATGACCTTAAACATCGAATAACAACAGCGATTAACTCAGTGCATCATGATATGCTGATACATGCCTGGAAGGAATTCTCTTATCGCATTGATGTTGCCCGTGCTGCAGGTGGTGGCCACAGTGAACACTTGTATGACAGGAAATAAAAGCTGATTGTGAGTAGAATACTTGTGACTTGGCTGGAGTTTTGTATTACTTTCCTTTAATAAAATATTGCATAATAAAATCGGTTCATTCTTTTTGAATAACCCTGTACTATGTGATGACAGCATTAACACTCATGACCCTCATGACACTAGCTGAGTGCATCTGACAATCGATAGTGTATAATTTAATGTAGGTCTTGTTAACTGACTAAACAAAATGCTTCTCAAAACAACATCTTAGGTATACTGTTACCAGAAAAACAATACTAGATACACTCCTATCCGAGCATTACAATCCTCATACCTTATTTGTAAAAAATGATTAAAATGAAAGCATAATAATGAGACTGTGATTGCCATGTTTAATCATCAAAATTACAAAACTGTCTTTGATTAATTTTGTATAAAGCGATTTGTGGTCCAATATAAACTGTACTGTGTAAAAGCTGAAACTGAACTCTTTTTAACCATGTGGCAATTACTCTCTATCTCATACATACACACACACACACACACACATGCAGAGAAAGGGGGACATAACATAAAATACAGAGTTCAGTAAGGTCTACGTCTGTCTTAAACATTTCCTGACATTGTGACATGATCCCTGCCACCAGAAGTGTACAGTCAGAGAAGCACTGCAGCGATGTCCATTGCTAGACAATGACCCAGTAAACACCTTCCCACTTAAGTGCATGACAAAAATAGGGTGTCCATTATACTACACAATGTATCAGTAAACACAAATGATCAACAATAGAAGATATCTGCTGCTGGGTAATGGATGAGTTTTCTGGGTGATAAGTGTCAAAGGGTTATAAATGACAATGAAGGTCATTTTCGGTCAAGTTTCAAGTGCCAGCTGACCAGGATATGAGAGGTAGGAGTACAACAGAGTACAAGAATGAGAACTGAAGGAGTAAAGTCAGTTGTCAGTAGGAGATAGCCATAGGAAGTTAGAAGTTGAAGAAGAATTATAAGTCGGCGTGTGAAGACTTAGTGCGCGGTTAGATGATTTGGTCACAGTGAGACTGGTTTAATTCCATTACTAGGATATGATACGACTAGTGAAAACTTGGAATCCTAGTGCGTGTGTAATGGTGACCTGTAAACTGTGTACATCAGCGATAGTGCTGCACTGCTTGTACTGTATAAGGTGTTAAAAAATCCAATCATTCAATCCAGAACCCCTTATTATTAATCACAGAATGCTGGACACGTGACAATATGATGCATATTTAATTAAATAAAAGAGACTATGCAGTAGCATATCTAGTGTCACAGCTTTGCAACAGATTTATTTAAAATAAAGTTCATCAAGGGAATGAAGAATACAAAAATACATTGGACCATACATGACCCCCAAACTGGAGAAACACTTCCATTCATATGTAAATTAAAACTATAATGAAAATTACGTAAGCATTTAAATTTTAAGAGTGACTTACTGAAACACTGCTTTATATCTGATGCCTTGAAACACATTACATGCTTTTTCTGGTTAAAAAAGTTCTTGTACACTTTGTTTCCACCAAACAGCCAGATGTCACTGTCATCTGTAATGGTCCCATCAGTAAGTGATACACTATCCAAGAAGGCACACTGCGCTTCAGCCTCCATTGGTGCTACAATGTATGGAATGCCGAACAGTTGTAGCAGTTCCTACTGGCACAAACATACATTCAAGTCAATTCCTCTAACAGATCATAAGCTAAAGCAGGACAATGGATCTACTTCTTTGTGTTACCTCTTGGGTGCACTACTGCATAATAAGGAACAAGGCCCTTCTACCTTTTATACTGTGATGTGTTGCACTATGGAAGATACACCCCCCCTTCCTCCCCAGCAGTGACTTGGCATCGGGGCACTCTCGTTACTATGGTAACAGGCAAGTCAATATTCCTTCCCCTACCCTGCCAGCAGTGACGTAACACTTTTGGAGCATTGCCATTGCTACGGTAATAGGCCAGTCAACACCCCTTTCCCCACGGTGATATAACACGGGACGCCGCAGTTGCTGCGTAGCCGTAAACAACTCCCAGCAGCGAAGCCCAGCAATGCCGGTAAACATGCGACTAGGCAACAAGGAAGCAAGGCATTTTCCCATTGTCTGGCTGAGGGTTTATAAGAGAACTACACTGCCTACGAAGCGAGTTAAAATGTAGCAGCCGTCGAAGACAGTTGGAATCTAGCAGCAGTCGCGGAAAGAAGAACCGGACGCGTGTGTGATAATCAGTGATAGTTTGTGATAACTGAAAAGGTATTGGGAGAGAGTAATTAAGTTGCACTTGTACAATTCCTGCATTATAAATACGTGTAGACCACTGAGGACAGAGTGAACTGATTAGTGTGTAGGGTTTGTAAAGTGTGTAAACCCGTAACACTGTTGTAATTAATTGTAGCCAAGACTTTTAGGTTGTTAAATAAACAAATTAACAATCCGAACGGCGTCTTCAGTAGCAAAAACACGTTACATTACTATACTATACTGAATTCCTTCAAACACCTCCCTAAAAAGAAAAAACCCTGAAGCAAAAAAGAGGGGGAATACCAACTTCTTGTGATAATAGAACTTAAAAAAATATACAACCTTGTTTTGAAAAACATGCAACATTTGTTAAGGTATATTTCTTGAGAATGTGTGGCAATATGGCATTCACACAGATTCTATATTTATAATTCTGTGATACCAACAACCAATGAACCACTGCAGCTACATAATGCTGCAAATGTTGAACATAGAGGTGCAGTGAGGAACAGCTGTGTATGAAAAACCCAATTAGTCAACCAGTACAGAAACTATTACATGTATGAGTACAAACTGATCAATGAGGGGAATGGCACACTATGGAGGGGGGTGTCTGTCTGAAACTGGTAGTTCTCATTTACCTATTTTTCCAAGTGCTATGATCCTTACCAGCTTACTACACAGGGGGCACCAATGATAGGTAAGTTCACTGCATGCTGTTTCAAGTTGTACTGAATTTTGGTTTTGTTTGATGTTTAATTTTGATTCACTAGTTGGCTGTCAGAGGTTGACATAATTTTATTCCCTTATTGCATCCCAGTAACAAACCTCATATGAGTAGCTTATGCATTCTAAATTTTTGGCTTAGCCTGTCCAGATCTTTATTATGGGCAAAACTGTGCAGAACACATACTATTTTTTATTATCAGAAAAATGTACAAAGCCTAAAAGACATACAGTACTGTACTTTACAATGAATATCCAGTGAATTAATACCTGTGCCTCCACATACATCTGATCTGTTATGCTGACTGCCAGTCTCTCCTGCTTGCCTTTTTCTACCAGCAGGTCTTCATGCTTCACTTCAAGAGACATCTGAAAAAGATATTGAACCGCAAAACTAACATTTAAAAAATTATTTAAGATATCCGATCTCCAAAATATGTCTTATAACACTTCAATTTTTCTGCAATTTCACACAGAGTCTGACAAAATAAATTGAAAGTACAAGCATTTTGAAATATGTCCATGAAGTGAGACACTCAGCATCAATGTAACAATATTTTAGAACTACACAGCACTAATACATCAATATATCTCATAATGGATTTGAGGCTTTCATGGCATTAGGCTATGGAAGAGTACAGTCATCTGGGTCGTGATTCCATGAAGCCAAGCCATGTAAGCCAAACAAGAATCAGAAGAAGCCTGCTGCCTACTTCTACTGACTTCTTGAATGGCCTACTCTCGGACCCTGGAGACGGAGATACGATCCTCTGAAATGTTGTGTAACCGTACGTCCCTCGCCAAAATTATTTAATTAAGGACATTACGAATTTATGCATTGTTTCACACCCTGAGAGACACTCCTCCGGCAAGATACCATCCCAGGACCATCTAGTTGTAATTCAACTATTGTCTTCCTTAGGCTTAGGATGTCACTATTGTCCCTAACATTGCCAGTTTGCTCCTGCTGTCATAAACCCATGAACTGACATTGCACAAGACCAGCCAGGAGGGGTCTTGGGTTCCCTGCTCATGTGCCTTGAAGACCTAAAGAAGTTTATGATAGGCATCTTGAGAAACACGAATGTAGGACAGCTGCCGGGCTCAACCCTTGGCTTTCTCTTGTTACTTCCTTGTTTCCCCCCCCCCCACTGGGGGACTTGTAAAGACAGAGCAGTTGTTTACAGGGAGCGGAGGTGGACCGTTGAAAAAGGGAGTTACAGGAGGGTAGCTAGCGAATGGCGTGTACAGTCAGTGAGCTGGGTGCAAATTGGTGCAAAAAGGTTATGTGTGATGGAGCAGGTAGCCTGGAGGAATAATATAAAGATTGATTACTGTATGAAATTTTAAATTAAGATTGCAATACACAGTGTGTTCTGGAGACCCTGGATTCATGAACCCCGAAGTGTGTTCCATTCCCATATCCGAAGCACCCGTATCCATGAGATAAAGAACCCATTTCAAACAATAGTCATGGCAGCTGCACGTCGGCGGGCGGCTACAGTTAGGCTCTCTCTAAACTACAGAGCATTAAAATTCAGGAGACCATACTGTAGTGTGTAAGCCCATTACTGGGTAAAAACCTTGAAACAAACAACAAAACAACATCTGCTCCTAGGTAACAGATTCTCAATAAGCAAGTATATGCAACCATTACTGAGTAGCACCTTCACAAACAAACACGTTCCCATGGAAACAATTGGAATAAAACAACAAACTGTGTTTCCTATATGATCTCTTCCAATGGGTTATCAATGGAACAAGTTTTGAAGTTAGAGAGTTGTGAGGGAGTCTGTGAAGAGAAGACTTAGTTGGTACAGTTGGATGATGAAGAATCTCCATTGTTAAGATGCATTACTGGGAAACAACTAGTGATAGCAGACTAAAGAAAACTTATCCCATTTGCACAGGTACTGCAGGGCTTTAATGGAAAAAAGCTGCAAGAAGAATGAACTAGAGATTACTGCTCTTCCTACCTATGATATTCTCATCCTGCCTGTATTCCAACCTAGCAATCCTTTGTTGACTTGTGGTTATTCATTCCAGCTTCTTGAGTCAGCTGTAACCTCCAAGCACAACACTTCATAACCACCAAAGCCAAGTTCCAAGTCCTAAAACTTATTTCTTAGAACCCATGTGAGAAAGGACAACCTTGGCAAATGGCCAACAGTAAGTTGCATCCTTATGAAACCCTTAGAATTGTCCATTATAGTCAACATTTTCAAGAATGGGAATTCATGGAGGCTGTTGTCCATCATCACTCCCAAAGTGGAGTTCTGCAGTCCCCCCCTCCCCAGTATTAACTGCAAAGAAATCAAAGTTCCAATATGCACTATGACTAAGTAACTTTTGACATCATTACATTAAACATGGGACCCTCTAATAAGTCAAACATAACCCAAAGGTCTTATACCTGTTCTGTCCATTTGAAGGCACAATACTCTTCATATGGTCATGGCAATTAAGGCTCTAGACAACAGCAGTTTTAACTTACATACTATCCATTATTGTCCATTATGTTTCTAAAAGAACTGTCATATGTAATTTTTAATAAGATCTGAGATCTCTAAAGTGTATTTTTAGGAATCCACTGGCAAAATGTGTTTTGTCTAACATGCTGTGAAGCAGTAGACTGATTTTGGAGGGGTGAAGGGTGTTGGTAGCCAACTATCAATTATCAGAAGAGTGCTGATGGCGACCAAGACACATTTCACAGATTCCCATAATACAGCATGGCCAATATCTCTGAGATTTATTCTTTTAATTCTTAGCTTACAATATATAACTGGTAGCCTTAGATTTCAGTCAGGCTTTACTAAATTAACTCACATGATGAAATGCTAAAATCAAGAAAAACAAGACCTAAGGCAACCACATATTTACGAAAGCCACCCAAGGACATGAGGGAGGGGGCAGAGATTTCTAGCTAGCTACAATTTCTAAATGAATTGCAACTGCAGGTTTACTTCTCAAACTATTTATAACTGGTGATGCATAGTGGTACTGTTAAACCACACCCCCATACCCCTCCCTTGTCTTGGACAGAGAAATCCACATTCTAAAATGTAAGAACTCTAAGTCTTAATAAAGATATTCTCATCTACTTCTGAGCAATCCCAGTGGGCATTTCCAAAGAGACCTCCTTATGAAAATTCTACATGCACTTCTCCATACCCCACTGACCTATACATCCAGTTCATCTTGATTTCCTTAATTTAACTACCTACATAAACTGCAATGGTCTGAAATATGCATCTATGCACTATTCTTTAGCTGAATGAAACCCCAATTTAAGGCATGTTTAGGGGACAAGCTTTTGTACCTTAAATGGGGGTTCTGGAAAACAAGAGCTTAAAATGGCTGTTAAACTTACTTAACTCAAATAATAAGGCCCTGAACATTGTTCATTTAATAATACAAAAGTTCATCATTTCTCAGAATATACTCCACTTCAACTTTCCTGTTCAAGATTTGTAGCTTTCCATAGAAATGTATTTCTTAATTATTACACAGACTGCACAAAACACTTCACAATTCCATCTCATGACACAGTTGGATTCTTTCCCACAATCTGAACAATTTTCAGTTTCTCATTTGTTGTTAACCTTTTTCCTTTCACTGCTATGGCCATTCATTACTTCAAAATCACTTCCATAAAAGCTCCAACACTCAAACATAACATAAACGATAAGTAACTGCTTTCAACTGACACAGAGAATGAACACAGAATGACAGCCACAATGCATTGCACACCAAGCAACTGATGACCTTGAACCATGAAATGGTAGCCACACAAGAGTTGGAACATACAAAAATGCTGAGTGCTAAATAAGATCCAAAATCTGCAAACAAATCAAAGTTTCATACATAAAAGGCAGGTAAACACTTAACTAAGAAATACAGTGGAACCTCGCTTAACGAGCACTTCTCATAACGAGAAATTCGCATAACAAGCAAAACAAATTGTAAAAAAATGACTCACTTAACAAGGGCGTTTCGCATAACGAGTGACGAGAGGGGACATCCTGGATTGTGCGCTTGCTACATCAGTCTGTGTTTAGCACTCGTTTCGCTAGCATCTTAGTGTCGCTTGTGATCACACATTTTTCCAAACTTGTGTTCAGACATATTATTTGTGATTTTTTTTGTGCAAAGTTAGTAACCCTTGCAAAAATGTCCCCGAAGAAAAAGCCGCAAAAAAACAGCCATAAGAGAATAAAAACAACCGTAGAAATGAAACGTAAAATCACTGAAAAGCGAGGACAAGGTGTGAGCATGGCTGACCTAGCACGCACATACAATCAGTCTACATCAACGATTTGCACGATTTGGAGTTGCATTGTGTTTCAGAGCAAGAAGTTGTGGAGGAGAGTTTGTCAGAGGAGGAGGAGGAGGAGGTAACAGAAAAGCAACAATCTTCTGGCGCAATAAGAGAAATGCTGAAAGCATGGGAAACTGTTGCATAGTACATTGAGAAGCATCATCCTAATAAGGCAGTGGCTATCCGCGCTACAAATTTATTTAATGATAATGCTGTGTCGCATTTTCAGCAAATTTTGAAGCGTCAGCAAAAACAAATGTCTCTAGACAGCTTTCTAGTAAAAAAGAATTAGATATGTATCATAAATAATAAACTAATTATTTCAATTTTTTTTTCTGCAAATCGAATTTGCATTCCAGGTTGGTTCATTCCACATAGAAGAAAAGATAAGGTGATTCACGCTCCTTAACAATGTATATATAATTTTCTTTGAATAAACATTATACATAAAATTTCTTGAGTATTTTTTCAGCATGCAATGCATTATCGTATTTTACATTAATTTATATGGGAAAAATTGTTTCACTTAACGAGTGTTTCGCATTACGAGTAAGATTCTGGAACGAATTATGCTCATTAAGCAAGGTATCACTGTATTAAATCAAGGAAAATAATACATTTGACATATTCATCTTCAGTTAGTGCCATAAAAAATGTACCTTAAATGCAGATCCCTTAAATCAGGGCTTCACTGTGGTTACTCCACCTCTATTAAAACCAGGTGTTTTACTGAGCAATTTGTTTTAAGACACTTGTAATGTATGTTCTTCCCACATTTCACAACTACCAAATGGAAGGTTATCTTATATATCAATTGTTTTGGTGCTTCAAAAGCAAATGAAACAATGAAAATTTTTCAATAGAATAATATTTGATGTACCCCATACAAATAACACAGGAAGTATCTGCTTAGAGCAGATTGTTTACTTGCCTAGGTTCCTTCTGAAAAGCCTAGGTCAAAACAACCATAAAATGACAAATAAGAAGAATGCTGCTCTGCACCAGTCATATGACCACATGCTAATTTAGAACTCAAACTGCTCAACAGTGCCTGTCCTCTTCCATTCTGAAAGGCATATCCTGGCTTCAAAATCCTACCTTACCCACATACCCTAGAAGAAGTCTTTCCATAAGATGAACAGAGGTTAGTGGTTAACACTACTGCTTCACACTTGGATGCTCCATGTGTGATTCCCAGCCTGGAGGCTGGCTATCCAGACTGAGGATCTTTTATAGTTCTGTTCAGACTCTCCAGGCAAACCCTGAGATAATGCCTTGAAAACAGGCATGAACCCTTCTTTCTATATAACTACCAATCATCATCCTTCCACTTCGTGCTATGTACTTTCTTATAGAATTGAGAAAGCTTCATTAAATAAAATTAAGAACAGAAAGACACAACAGCAAAATGCTTGTACCTGTAACTTTTGGAGTTCTTCAGAGAACAACATAGTTGTGGTTACTTGTGCTGCCTGAGACTTCTTGTCTTTCTCTTCTGGTTCTATACCAGAGATTGTACTAATGTCTGCTTCCACTTCCATGGCTGTCTGTCTACAGTCATCTTGCGTTACAACATTTTCCACCAGTTTACTGTCCTTCAGTTTGGATTCATTGCCTTCTCTGGGATCACTAATTCCATTGCTGATGCCTTCTTTATCAAATTTACTATTTTCTATTCCCCTTAAACCTGTATGTATGTTATAACTAGAAGAGAGACTGTCAATTGTAGAGTCTTGTTGGTTACTATTTGTTGCTAATATTCCTGTAGACGTTTGTGCAGAAAATATATCAGCAAAAATATCATCTTCAATTTCACATATCTTGTCCTTTTGTATTAGTAGTTCTAAAGTGTTCTTCTCAGTTCTACTGTGAACTGGAGATGTGGCAACATATGTTACTTCAACAAAATCTGTATCGCTATCACTATCACTATTTAATTGTTCAATAATGTTACTATTTCTCTGTATGTCTACAACTGGAGTTAATGCACTGTCAGCAATGTTATTCTCTGTCTTGCCCACTCCCTGTCTTGCAGCAGAACTGTTTTCTTCAACAGTTTTATCATTTAGTACATCTGTCTTCCACTTATCTAGTATGTTTGCATCACAAGTACTGTTTATAGCTGTCCTACTGTAGGTTGCTTCAGCTGAATTCCTAACATCAATTCCAGTGCAGCTAGCTTCATAGGAATGGCTAACATCAATTCTGCTGCATCTTGCTTCAGCTGTATTGCTTAAACCAGTACCACTGCAGTCTGCTTTATCTGCAATGCTGACACAAGTTCTACTGCAGCTTGGATTGGCTGCTTTATCTGTATTGCTAACAGTAGTCCTATTGCAGGCTGCTTCAGCTGTACTGCCAATACCAGTTCTACTGAAGTTTGCTTCAGATGTCATGTTAACACCAGTCCTACTGCAGCTTGGCTTGGCTGCTTCAACTGTATTGTTAACACTAGTTCTACCACAGACTGCTTCAGCTGTATTCTCAACACAAGTTTTACTGCAGGTTGCTTCATCAGTTCTACTTTGTATCCCACTAAAGGCAGAGACATCAGTCCCATTTTGCAGTGCCTTCTCTTTACTGCCTTTTCCAGATGTTGATGGCTGATCTGGAGACAGAAAATACTCATTATTTTGTTGCAGCTCTCCTTCCATAGAATTTTGATACTGGATAATAGCCAGGATTTGTTGCTGTGTGAGTCCACTATTCTCAAATATGAAATTCTGAGCCAGCTTTAGGTTAATATTGTCTCTTTGTGTTGGCTTCTGCTGAGATGAAACAAAATCTTCCTCCGAATTGGATGACCAATTTTCTTCGAACTCTTCCACTTCCTCTTCCTTACACGGAACTGATTCCAGTAATACTCTGACATCAGTGTCAGGTCTACTCATATTTTCAATAGCTTCCTTGTCTTCCTGAGTTTGAGTGGGAGATGATTCCTTGACACTAATTTCCTCTGGTTTGCTCTTTGCCAGTAACTGTTTTCCAATCTCTGTAAGCAAATGAAATGTGTTAACAAAGATCAAACATTAGATTTCAGTCTTATACCGAAAGCCCAGATGAATTCTTATTAACATTGTGTGATGGTTGTTTGTTACATACACTACACTGCATTGTTGATGCTGAACAGACAATGAATACAAACTATTAACCAATCAACCAGCCAACTCCAAAGAGCAGAGCTCTTCTCAATAGGCTAACAGATGTTCAGCTAGCCAAGAAATTCTTTGCCCTTTATGTAACCTCAAGGTTCGCTAACACATTCACAAGGGCTTAACAGTAGTGTCTATCTACTGTTACACTTTGCATTTTTCAGATACATTTTAATTTTATCCTCTCATCTATGTCTAGAACTCCTAAATGACCGTTTCTCTTCAGGTTTTCTGACAAAAATATCATCTGCATTTCTCATCTCTCCCATGCATGCTGAGTGCCATCATGTACTTTAGTTGCTCATAGAATCCAATCAAGTACAGGGCCCTCTGTAACATTTTGCATCACACTAATTTTCTTTTATGATGAGGAGTTGTTAGCCACCATCCAACCCCCAACTAGGGAACAACTCCTTGTCAGCTATCAAGTTAATTCTGTTCAGGAAAACTGCTTAAGAATTTTATGTTGATATATGACAGAACAAGTTTTTCCTCACAGTTCACCATCAGGAAAGGCTTTACAATCTAGTATACTGTATGTCCAAAAAGTATCCGACTTTATTTTTTTCCACTGTAAGTAACGGCCAAAGGGATGGGGAAACTGAGCACAGTGGTAGAAGGGACTTTCATGCGCATGCATGATTTTTTGCTGACTTGCAACACTGCCAGATGCGTCTGTGGCTGCCAGATAGCGAAGTGGTGTAATGCGTGTTCGTCACATTCTCGTTTCGCTCAAGATGATAGAACGCTTGGCGCAGCGATACTGCATTAAGTTTTGTCAGAAACTGGGGGATACCCAAGCGGAAACAATTCACAAAATTCAGGAGACTTTCAGCGATGATGCAATGGGGGTCACTCAAATTAAACAGTGGTTCAACCGCTTTAAACATGGCCGTATGTTGGTGGACAGTGTGCAGCGTTCCAGGAGACCGTCAACGAGCCGAAATGCTGATGTCATTGAAAAAGTGCGGACACTGATCATGGAGGATCGTCGTTTGGCCATCCGTGAAGTTGCTGATGAGGATGGGATCAGCAGAGGTTCCGCAAACACAATTTTAACTGAGGATTTGGGCATGTGAGGAGTGGCAGCAAAATTTGTGCCCAAGTTGCTTTCACCGGAGCAGCAACAACTCCGCCTCGAGGTCGTGCAGGACATGCTGGAGTGCGCCAACAGGGATCCTGAGTTCCTGAAGACTGTGATCACTGGTGACGAGTTGTGGATGTATGGATATGACCCAGAAACCAAGTTCCAGGCATCACATTGGAAGCATCCAACATCCCCGATGCCCAAAAGAGCACGACAGGTTGGGATCAATGTGAAGGTGATACTGACTGTTTTTTTCGATTACCGGGGTGTTGTGCATCATGAGTATGCACCACTAGGCCAGACTGTCAATAAGGAGTACTACCAAGAAGTCTTCCGCCATCTTCGTGATGCAGTTCGGCACAAGAGACCGGAGCTGTGGGACACACGCAACTGGCAGCTGCATCATGACAATGTCCCAGCTCATTCATCACACCTCATCCAGGGTTTCCTGGCCAAGCATGGCATTCCGCAGGTCTGCCAGGCTCCCTACTCTCCTGACATGGCTCCTTGTGATTTCTGGCTATTCCCGAGATTGAAGACACCACTAAAAGGCTGCCGTTTTGACAGCCACGAGGACATCATACAGAACGCGATGGCACAGCTGCACGCCATTCCAAAAGAAGCCTTCCAGAATTGCTTCCAGCGATGGAAGGACCGCTGGGCTAAGTGTGTGGAGTCACAAGGGGCCTACTTTGAAGGCGATTAGATATTGTAACCACCCAGATACAGAACTTTTTTTTCCCGGTCAGATACTTTTTGGACAGAGTAGTATAGTAAGTCAGCAAAAGTTTTTATATTTGTGTAGGAGAAGTGCACTGAACAATTTTATCTGCATGAGTAACAAAATATGCTTTCATGCATCAAAAAAAGCCTTATAGCCGAGCAACAGTCAAAATGCAATCAAAATAAAGTTACCTTTTATATAAACATATCGTGTCACATTATCAGCAGCTATTCTCATTCCAACGTTAGAACCTGTAACTACACCCTGTTCACTGAGCATCTCCTCCAGCTCACCCAAGCTAAGTGATCGTCCACCCATCTCCTTTTCTGCATCTTCCAGTGATGTCTGTATGGATCGGCGCTTCAGCAAACGAGTCATCTGATAATTCGAAAATTCACCAGATTCCTGCCACCATAAAGGGCCAGCAATATGTGAGATGCACAGTGAATAATATGTATTAGTAGCAAAAATGATGTTATTAATTTGAGGACGGAATAACAAAACCATAAGACAATATGTGTCACTAATTTAAATCACCAACTGGTTTAGTAGTATGACTGCAGTACATGGAACAGTTACTTTGAAAAATTTGCATAATAGCATGCTTTACATGCTAAGTAAAGTAGTGCACAATGTAAATTTGAATAGTTTAGCAACAGCTACATTTTTCAGTCCTGGACAATATTCATCATCTGGGTTTCACTGGAATGGGTATCAATACCTGAACCAAATACTGGTTACATTTCCTATACAATCATAAATGAGGTGCCTATACTTAACACTAAGTTCAAGAAAAACAAGCACATTAGAAATACTTGTCTAAAACCCACTCCTAATTTTTACAGTGCTCCTGTTACGCCGTGGTGACAGGGGGCGTGTAGGTATCCCTCCACTGCCACCACATACTATGCTGTAAGGGGTTAACGCAATAATACTAGATTACCCTCAGCTAGGATTCTCCTGGTTCTGGACCTTCTTCATTGCATACAGCTGCCACCATCTATTATATCTTAACAGGGTTGATGAAAATGTTAAATGTCAGTAGCGCGGTAGTCGAGCATTCTTTGTTGGCTGGCCCCTCTGTCACTGTCACCACTTCCTAATGGCATATAGCGGGCATGTCAGATCTGACCTGCCTCTACCCATCGACTGTCACACCATATATTATGCCTCTGCGACAGGGATGGATTGGATATCTCACCGCTGTCCCCAATTATTATGCCCTGGTCACGGGGGTAGGTTAAATACACACTACTAAATCACTTTGTCAGTCAACCCTGTGTTGACTCGTCCCACCGCCGTACTATAGGCAATGCTGCGATGGCAGGGGTGAGTAAAACACAAATACTAATTCTCTCTGTCAGCCACCTCTCGTTGGCCACTCCCCCACTTCTGCCATCACTTTGTTATGCCTGAAGGGGCTAATGAAATGGTACTCAAATACTCTTTCTTTGTTCCATCAGGAACGCACCCCCTTGTCTCTACTACTAGTCCCAAACCCTTAACTTGGATTCTCATAACCCTTACTGCTAGTTGCATCGGGCTGCCGTTGGCTGCCTGGGTCAGTTCTGCCTTCACTGGGCCAAGATCGCTCTGATCGGTCATGGACGGGTTGGTTCGGGTAAGTAAATCACAATCCCGGTACATCCTACTCTAATCACAATGGAAGAATGCCGACGTCTGTCGGTTTACACATGGTATCGGTGCGCGATAGTTCTGAATTTCATTCTAGTCTCTTGCCTAGAGCAGATGGCTTGAGACTGTCACTTTCTTCACTTCTATTACTCGACACACCCTCCGTCCTACCCTAGGTACACTGGTCTATTATCACTTTAATTTGTATTCTATTTACAATATTAACAATGCCGACTCTCAGTCGGAACTACATAGTGTCTTTACGTTACTACGCTATGACCTCATCATGGTCTCCCCTTCTGGGGTGTAGCACTTGAGCCCCCCCTCTTTCTCTCTCTCTTCCCTACTACTCATTACACAATTCTACACTATTCTATCATAATACTTCACCCTTAAAATATTCTGCCCCTAAAGTTATTCATACTGAAAGCCTACATATATTCATCACAAAAATCAGTAGTCATAACACACTATAACGTCTACCACATTTACTACACTAGCAACTTTGGCCTTCACTCGTTACATTATTTTTCGTATTCTACCCCCAAGAGCTCGCTGGGCACACTGGACATTGCTTTCAACATTTAACAATTTAACCATTTACCAACAACCATAAAGTTTAACAGCATGGCTTATATGAGCAAACATGACTTACTTGAGATAGACGCAGCAACACCACCACTTGTAGTACCCATGTCGGACAGAGCCTCCGGCTAACAGCTGGATATTACGTTTTAGATCAGATCCTTGACTGATTTTTTTCCTCATTTTTATATTATTAAAATTGCTGATGCAGCAGCTAACAAAGAGGGAGGTTAACTCCTCCCTTCATCCTCAATTGCTAAAGCGGTAATTTCTAATTGGCTAAATCCGACTCGTCGCGGGCAATCCGCGGCACCTCCCTCTTTGCATTTTGTAATTTCGTGGTCTCCGGTTGTTTACAAATGCCACTCACAAAGTGGAGTGATTGCGCGTCTTCGCTGACTATGGCGTTTGTTGACCGCGTTCCACAGCCTATGTGTGGCCATCACTGCTCTAATTATGGTGAGACGCTCTTGTAATGTTTAGGCAATAATTTTGATTTCCAGTCTCAAAATTTGCAGCATAACAGCTCCAAAATTAAATAACATGCACCCACCACCATTTAATGAGATGTAAATGAGAACATACTGACATATGCATCTATTTCTCTTAAAAATACTGAGTGCTTAAAAGGTTTAAATGTTTTATTTGTATGAAAAATTATTGGAGCACAATTTAAAGTTTCAATTCCTTTACAGCTTTTGGCCTGAACTTGACCCAACTTGAAAAAGTAGCAATTGCCCCTGCTCATCAAAACTGAATCATAGAATGAGTTAATAAACTTCACCATGTTCTATCTGTATTGCATATGATATAACTACAATTATTCTATCCTCTATTATAACAATGAGAATACACTGTTATCTATACATGAGTACTAGAAATATGAAACTATAAAATCCTCTTTCATTTTGGAGCATTTGGAATTTATTTCCTTGAATAGATGGTGCTCAGATGGCTTCACCAGTGTTGGGACTGTCTATGGGCTCGAAAACTGAGGTTTGATTCCACCACAGGGATGAATATATCTTTTTCAACCATGTCCAGACATGCTCTATAGTTCATTCAGTCTCCTTTCTGAAGCAACTCTTCCCTGGGGTAAAGTATCAGCTACAAAGCAAAGATGACCATTCACACTCATGTGGTCCTGAGGTTAATGCATGGATATACAGAGTGGAGCAAAAGAAACACATGTTTTTCAAATAAGAATAACTTTGTTGACTTTCAAGATAAAACCTTTTTAATTACACAAAAAAGAAGGTATTTTAACACTTCGCGGACTGGACACCTAGTCCTAGGCGTTGGGTTTTAAACGTGGCAGGTGGCAGACCGGTCACCTAGATTTAGGCTTTTAGGACATGTTATGTTACAACACACTATTCCTCGCTTTGGTGGCCATGTGTCTGTAAAAGTACTGCGTAGCTGACCTTCGGAATGTTTGTTTTCCGGGTCAGCAACGTAACCACTCTCTATTCCCCTCTCACTCTAAAGAAAAGTCCCTTTGTTGAAGTCAAAGCTTCTATGGGTGAGGCAAGATATTTTCAGCGTCAACATGGCTCAGAGACGAAAGCAGTTGAAGGCCGCACGAGCTCTCAGAGAAGAAGAAATCTGTGATTTGATCTCCGATGAGTTATCTGACTTGCCAACTGCTTCGTCTTCTGATAGCAAGGGTAGTGTCAGTGGCAGTGACAGGGGCCCCCAAAATATTGTGACCAGAAGAGTAAGTGAAAGTGACAGTGAGAGCTTCGATGAAAGTGCGAGTGCTAGCATTGTGGGGACAGCCACATGGGGTAAAGTGGACAAAACACCCACTTTTGGAAAGTTTACTGGTGATACAGGGGTGAGACAAATTCCATCGGACCCTACGCAAGTGTCTGAACAGGAGGAAGGGGGACATTCTTCTTCAGTCCTGGAGGGATACTCACGTTGTGAATATGATTTCCACTATTCACAATTCGAGCAGGTCGATGTTCAAAGACGACACGGGCAAGTGAAGAAGCCTCTTTGTATTTCTCAGTACAATATGTTCATGAAGGGAGTTGATAGAGCCGACCAATACTTGGCCTATTATTCCCTTCCTAGGAAAACAGTAAAATGGACGAAGAAAGTTGCCTTGTGGCTTATAAACTGTGCCCTTTTCAATTAATTTTTGGTTTTCAAAGAGCTAAACGAAAATTCAACTTTGAAATACAAGGCATTTCTCATGAATGTGGCAAAAGCCTGGGCTACAGACCTCACGGTGGCGGCAGAACCTGCATCAGACACAGACGTAGTATGACCGGCACCATCTAGTCCCACCCCATGGAGACCTCATATGGACCCCCCCTGGGCGACTCTCAGGTGATATGTGGAAACATACCCTCGTGAAAATTGTGATGAGTGAACAATCGACGGGGAAGTATCCTTCTAGGCAGTGCCGTGTGTGTGCTGTGCACAAGAAGCGAAGCAAGACTTCCTACGTCTGCAAGTTCTGCGTCATGCCCCTTCACAGAGGGGAATGTTTCCATAAATATCACACTCTGAAGCACTTCTAGGAGCTCTGGTAAGTCTTCTCCAATAATTTTAGTTCATAAAATTAATTAGGAGATCTTATATTAATTTTTAAAGTGAACAGTGCACAAGTTAGGGTAGTAGGTTTAAAAACGCCAGTCCTCAGGGTGATTTAAATATTTAAATAACCAGTCCGCGAAGTGTTAATGCATTTTTAACATACATTACATACAGAAAATAATGACAGTCAGATGATGTCCTTCTTGCTGGGCACACATTTGGAGCCTCTCCTCAAAATTGTGCATCGCATTCTCACATTTGTCTCATGTTTACCTGACATCTTAGGAGTTCTGGATGCAGGAAGTTGTTTAACCTTTAAGTGCCGAAGTGCCCCATTTGTGCCAGTGTTGAGTAAGGTCGTCGTGGCCAAAGTACCCCGTTTTGGCCAGTCGGGCATTTAAACTCCGCTAGGGGAAGTGCACGCACACGCCGCTAGTAGAAGCGAATGCACAGTCCTAAATATTTATTTTTAAATGTAGCAATTACCAGACAAACTTGAGTAAAGCCCTAATAGAAAAATTAAAATGATACCTAAGTGAACAACAAAATAAAGAGTATACGTATGAGTTATGCCAAAACTCATCCACGAGCCAGTACTTTTATTGCAGATTCTGCAGATTAATGTGTTAAAATTATATAGTAAAATTCGATGTACATACCTTTTTTGTTGTTATCTGCTTGATATATATAGGCTGAAATAAAACTACAGTATTCAATTTCACTACGAACGCACAGAAAACAGACCGCACTCTGAATCTCAGCCGCGATGCAGCTGTCTGTTCAGGCCCATAGAAAGGGCAATAAGCTTTTGCAGCTATAACGGAATGTCTTAGCACTGAAGGGACCCCTCTAGCTTTCTCTTGAATAGCCATTCTTTCATTCTTCTGACCTTCAGTCAAAAGATTCGAAAATCCGAAGAGTGTAAGCAGTGCTAGCAGAAGGCCAAATGATTTTATTGCTTCCATCTGTTTTATGACATCAGGGACTGCTAAAATTTGTCAAGTGTTACAAACAGAAATGAATTTGTAATGCAGAACAACTCTGTGAAGAACTGGGAAAACATTTTTGCAGTACTCATCAAAATTAAAAGACAAAAAATTGAAAATGGAGTATAATTTGTATAAAAAATTTCAAATCTTCCATTATAATATGCGACAGTATGTTCTTTGCTGATACAAACAAAATTAATTCCATCCATTTATCATAAAAAATTGAGTTAGATACAGCATTTTTAAACACAATGCTTAAAATTGTTTAGGCGCACTAACAGAAACGGACATTTAAACGCAGAGTAGCAACAGGCATTTAAACGCGCACCAGCAGCGGGCATTTAAATAAACTCCGGCAAGCTCAAACTTACCACTATTTAAGAAGTCCGGCGTTTAAAGGTTAACATGTCGACACAGTGCGCCGAAGTCACTGTAACTGCAGTCTCCCCCTCTTCAAAAAAGGATCAACGATCCCTAACTTAGAAACACCGCACCACACTGTCACTTTTGTTTGTTCACAAATCCATTCAGATGCAAACGTGCTTCATCACTCATCATTACCATGTCGTTAGCATCTTCAGTAAAAATGGCAAGCATTTCCTCACAAAACTCTCTGCATTGTACAAAATCCCCTTTGGCCAGCTGCTGGACAATCATTATTTTGTAGGGATGAAATTGTAATTCTTCATGTAGGATGTGATGTAGGGAATGTGATATACCTAAAGCTAATGCCTGATGCCTATCGGAACATCTGGGACTAGCAAGAACCGTCCTTCTCAGTGTGTCAATGTTTTCCGGGGTCCGTACTGAAAAAGGAAGGCCAGGTGGTTTCCTCTTCATGACAGATCCAGTAGTTCTAAATGCTGCAACCCATCGGAGTGTAGTGTTACGATGCGGAATTGTTCCTCGATGCTCAACACTGAACTTTTGACGGAAAAGACGTTGGACAGTAACTACGGAATCACTGTTTCTAAAAAACTGTTCAACAGCAAACATAGGATGCTCTATATTCCAATGTGCCATGGCTACTGAAATTGAATTGTCTGTGCTGTCTGCCAGCTCATGCCCAAAGTCATCAACTCCACCCTTGCTGAGTACTAGCCATTTGAAAAACATGTGTTTTCTCTGCTCCACCCTGTACTTCTTTGTGGTTTATTTAATGACATTATCAACAGCTCAGACTATACAGTATTAAATGACAAAATGATCAGCGAATTGTAAACAATGTGGAAGTGGCCATGGCCTAATTTCAGGTGATATTCCACCATCTTACTGGAGAAACTGAAGAAAACTTCAAAAACTTCAGTCCCAATAGCCACCCTGAAAGCCAAGACTTGAACATGGGACCTCCAGAATACAAATCAGAAGTGAGAATCACACAACTGTAATGTTCAGTAAGACTACATGGAGTTACTCCTTCTCTCCTCATCTTCATGGCATGGTGAATAATAAATTAACTTCCCCGAATAAACAGGTAAGTTAAACCTTTACCTTTGGCATCTCATGCAATCGCCCCCAAGAACTCTGTTTCCTTGTCTCCTTGAGTTCACTGAGAATATCATGTCGCACATTGGCAGGTAATGACTTGAAGTGTACACTACTGACATCCACTGTATGCAAGTCTGCTGTAGCCCAATTCTTGTGGAAGCATACCTCTTCCTCAGAACTTAATGAATCTTCTTGAGATCTACAAATTAAAATAGCATTAATCTTCTAATTAATAAAACGTGTGCAGGAATAAATCTGAACCTAAGCAGACTGAAGTACATGGGTAATTTATGACATTACATAACAAGGAACTTCAGTGTTATTAGGCCATCAAAATCTATGAGGTTTCAATGTGCTGGACATGTCCATTGGATTATCAGGCAAAAAATATGAACAGAATTTGTAGTAAAACCTATCTCAAAGTGGCCATTTGAAAGACCAAGGAGGAGGTGGAAAAAAGTGACATGATATCATCCTCAATGCCTGTCCTTGGTATTATATGTTGATTCTACTAGCAGTGAGTTAGTATCTGAAATTACTCCAAAAGGCCTAACAATTAATTATGCACCTTCACAAAGCTTGCACATTCCATTTCCTTTCTTTCTTGTGATAACAGAACTAAAGTTTATACTTCTTGGTGCAAGTCACTGTCTCAAGCAAAAGCACAAATGTAGTTCACACAAAATTTTAATGAATTATTATGAGGGACAGTCAAATGAAAATGGGTCAGAAGCCAAAACATATTAACCTTTAACGGACAAATGTTATACACTCAACTCTCGATTATCCGGGATAATGGTGGGGATGAAAATCACGATTAATCAAAAATCAAAAGACGAATTTTTTTAAAAGTAGTACTGTAATACTGTACCTTCATAATACTATAGGCCTACCTGTATTTAAATTTATTCAACCTCATTTTTATGTCATCTCATGGCCTATTTAATACTTTTTTTACATTACACTGAAGTATGAATTAGTTATTTCAATCACAGTGTTCAACAACATCCAACACTTTTTACGAACATTGACACTTAACACTTAAAAAAAATTTAATATTGTTGTTTGCTTTTTCACAGCATTTTCCTTTTTATGGATATCCGTACGAAGCCTACGTAATATTAGCTTGTCACTTAATAAACTGTTGTCTTCAATCTCAAGATAGTCTAGTAAGGATTCCAAATGATTAAGAGCAGCACCATGTGATATTTTCTTACTAGCAGCACTGTCCACCTCTTTGTCATATCACTTTCTTCCTGCTCTTCTGGCTGCACCCCCACTGAACTTACGATTTCGTCACTGCTTAACATTTCGAAGCCCGGCTCACACGAGTTTCTGTTGAATACTTAACACAACACGCTTCCTTTTACACCCTGACATTTTGCTAACACACTTGAAGATCGATACAAAGAGACTGTCCTTCAAACTTTCCACAAATCCTTACATTCTTTCACCCCTACCCTAGAGTATTGTGTTATCATAACGGGACCAAAAAATGCAGACCTTGGTTCACACAAGTGCGAAAATAGTGTTACAACTCACCATGTGAAACAAACGTGAATGAATATTAAACAACATATAAGCCTCAAAAAAGCCCCAGTAGCCCTGGTTAAGCCACAAACCGGTTTATCTGCCCCCGGATTATCAAGAGTTGAGTGTATATGTCTACAGCAAGCAGCACCCCGCTAAGGTCGAATGTTATATTTATATGAGGCAGGACACTGCTCCCTTTGGGAGTGCTGACAGTTTGATCTTGGGTTTGAAACTAAAACAAACCCAAGCAAGATCACATCAGTGGTTCATTCGTTAGCTCTGAACAATTAAATCGTTTATCACGGTACTGATTTCGTTACTATTTACGTTTAGATATGACCGTTCATGACCTGGTTAGCCAAATAGAGCCCAGCTTTGTTTTGAGAACTGAGGAGTATATATATTCACCTGTGCTCACAGATCAGTGCTTCCAGAGCTTTCAAGGAAGTGTGACGTATTCAAGGATTGGTTTTAAGAAAAGCAGGAGCACCATTTTCTATTGTAAAAAGTGTGATGTTGCGCTGTGTGTCGCGGACAGCTTCGAGAAGTGGCACACACGCGTCAGAGTGTGGGGTATTGTAAACTGTGAAGTGATGCAGTTCAAACTCGTGTACTGAACAAAATATTATTGTATATAGTGTGATTATATTTACAATATCACCAAGTCTCAAGGTTGAAAAAAAAACTACAGGTAAGTCCTCTGGAATTTCATAACATAATAAAGATTATATTTTGCTTTTAATTTTCGTTTGTAAAAATTGCTCTTTTATGTATATGTAGAAAATTTTATTGTCTTTCAGGCTGTTTTTAGTTCGTATTTCTATGATGCATGGAATGGAAAATATTAGTTTTTTCTGAAAGTCTGCAATGTTAAAGACTTAGGGCGATTTAAATTCCAGCCGCAGAGGGCTGGAAAGCAATTTAAAAGTCTGTACATTAAAGGTTAAAGAACATTTCTTACCTCAAAAGTAATCTCCAAAACTGTTAATACACTTATCCCACTGGGAAATAAGACAGTCAATCCCATCCTTGAAAAAGCTTGTGGGCTGTCTACAAAACCATATCTTTACATAGCCACACATGTCTTCGTCCGACGCAAACTGATGTCCATGAATGTCTCTTCAGGTCTCCAAAAATGTGAAAATCACATGGGGAGAGATCTGGGCTGTAGGGGGGATGTTGAAGCACTTCCCAACCAAATCTCTGTAGCGTGTTCCTCACAGAGTTGGCAGTGTGGGGGCGCGCATTATCATGAAGAAGGATAATGCCGTTCGATAGCATTCCAGGGCGTTTTAACTTTATGGCACGTCTCAGTTTCTGTAAAGTGTCTTCACAGCACTGTGCACTGATTGTGGCCCCATGCTCGAGAAATTCAACAAGCAGAGGGCCCTTGCAATCAAAGAAGATAATCATCACTTTACCGGAACGTGGGTGTACGGCTTTGGATTTCTTCGGTGGGGGAGAATTCACGTGTTTCCACTGTTGGCTCTGCCGTTTGCTCTCGGGTTCAAAATGGTGGCACCAAGTTTTGTCCCCAGTGGCAATACGGGACAGAAAAGCATACTCTTCCTCAAGGTATCATTGCAAGTGACCCAGTGATGCAGCCATTCTGTGAGTCTTCTTTTCCTCCATGAGTTGATGTGGAACCCAGTGCACGCAGATTTTGCGGTACAGCAGGTGTTTTGTCACAATGGCGTGTACGGAACCGTGACTTATTCCCATCAAAAGACCAATTTCTTCCACACTGATCCGTCGGTTTGCCCGGATATGACCATCCAACACAGCAATAACATCAGGAGTGATGACACGATCAGCCTGTCCTGGGTGAGCAACATCTTGCAGTGACACGCGTCCCTCTCGGAATCTCTTATGCCACACCAGAACATGCGAATGTGACATGCTGTGTTCACCGTAAACAACAAACGTGTGATGATGAATTTCTCATCCTCCTACTACTTCAGCAGTCAAAAAGCACACTACACTTCGCTGTTCTTCTATACCCTCCTCCATTACTGATGTTGGACAACCACACATAGCACTAACCTTACTTCCAGCACAAAAAAGGAACGACTAGTGTGCAAGGGCACGTTGTCACTGTGTTTTCCCGAGTCCCCACCAGATGTTCGTACCATAAGCAAATTCCAGTGTTACCAACTCGCGCACCATGCGAGTTATGCATGGTGACCTGTTTTCATTTGACTGCCCCTTATATTTTCATTCCTACATTCTGATGTAAGAAATTTTTCCCTCTTATTTAAAATTTAACCCTTTGGCGCGGTCATTTAAATTCCGCGGCCGCGTCTCCGGTGGTAATATATTCAGCTGGCCATTTAAATTTTGCTCGAAAATGATTTATTCATCATTGTTCTTAAATTCTATGAGATAGGAACATGAAACTTTCACTAAAATGATCTTAAAAGGCGGTTTTATAACCTTACCTTATAATATGAGCGCCCTGTATTTCGGCAATGGAAGTAGGTTGTTTAGTATTTGAGCAGTGAATGGTACGCCTTGAAGGATGAAACTTTCACTAAAATGATCTTAAAAGATGGTTTTTATAACCTTACCTTATAATATGAGCGCCCTGTATCTCGGTAATGGAAGCAGTTGGTTTAGTAGAAGGAAGGCCTTGAAGCATTCGTATAACCCAACGGTGCCCCACGTTCACCATTCTCCGCTCCAATATTGTGTATTTTTTTTGGCCCTTTTTTTTAACCACACATATGTGCGGCCTTGCCTTCTTACCCGTGAGGGGTATACTTCAAGGAAATGTCTTTCCGTGACCCGTTTAGTTGCCAGGTCAGCTGTAGTAAATTCAACGTTACGAGTTATCATAACAAGGGGTTGTTGCTATGCCTTTGATATTCCATCCATTTTGGCGGCAGGAGATGTCGTAGGGGTGACCACAGAATTCATGAAGTTATTCTAAGAACTGTCTGGTATGTAGTGAACGAAAGTAGAGCTTAGCTGGCTCAAAAAAATATTTATGGTCATCCCTCGAAACGACCACCAAGGTCAGTACGATAAAATGGAGTCAACTGGAGCGATAATACATGAAGGAATGAGTTCTTTTCCCTCCCCCACACACATCCGTATCGTCTCAGGGGGTGACCACAGTGTTCTGCCTTAAATTGTGGCGTTTTTCTAAGAAATGGGTGCTATGTACTGTGCGAAAGCAATCGATTTTGCAGGCATAAACTTTTGTACATCCCTCTTCTAAGAATTCCAATTGAATAGCCAGCTCAGGGCAATATGATATTATAAACACCAGCACATATCAGTCTCTGGTGTTTATAGCTTCAGAGCAAACAAAACACATCATTCATAACAGAAACAGCTCGCAATAGCCACAGGAACGTTGCTGCAAGACAGGCATATGTAACGACGACTTAGCGCTCTTAAGCGTGTGTCATTAAATACAGTCCTCCTGACAACAGGCCAGTGAAAAATCTAACAATCTACAGCAAAACCATCAATTATTATGGGCGTTATAACATACGTGTGCAGCTGGACGAAACATACACGTCGAACCCCCCCAGACGATTTAAATACCTGACGAAACATACACGTCAAACCACGCTGAACGGCTAAAATGTCCATGTTTATATTATAGGAATCTTAAAAAGACAGACATGGTCTCCCTGGTAACTGAAATGGCATTGTATCTGGGTTAATAAACAATAATAAAGTGCACCATAAGAGGAGCATTCTCTTCTAGGATTAATGCCACACAGTTCAGTAGAAAGCAAAGCCTTACTGCCTACTTCTTGTAAGCTACTAACTTGGCTTATTCTTCAACCCTGAAGATAGAAGCAGTACTTTCCTCTGAAATGTCAGTGAACTTCTGCCAGACTATATGCCATTACATCTCAGAAGACAGCATGCTTCAGTCACTGTTGTGAAACTTCAAATCTAACAAAAGGTGAGCTCTAGTTCAAGGTACGCCCACTCGCCCGCTCGCCCACTGGCCCGCTCGCCCACTCACTCACTCACTCATGCAGCTGAGCTCTTCTTGTAAAATGTCTATTCCTGAGACACATTTACTTAACTGAATCTGAACTTCATGCAGTTATCAGACTCATACATACTAAAATTGAATTCAGTGAACAATTTCTAATGTAAAGATTTCTATCTTCTGGGATATAATGCCATGCAGTCTGGTGAAAGTCAAGTTTTGAAGGAACATACAAAGCAGGCAACAAGGTGGCTTACTGTCTGCCTCATAGTGGTTTCTTGTCTGGCCTACGCTTTGATCCTGAATATGTAGGCCACATGTTCCTCCAAAATGTCAGCTGACTTTCACAACACTATACAGCACTATAGTCCAGAAGACAAAAATATTCATAACTACAACTGTGAGAACCACAAACCATATAACTTCTAATGCAGATAAAAATACCAGTCTTATTAATATCAGTTATATTATTTGGGGGATGAAATATATGGATGGATAATACACAAACAAGAATGACCTCTGCATTACATGTTCAAGCACAAAATGCAAAGAATTTTCAGCTTACCCTGATAATCCCTCATCCAATTTTCTCTCCTCTGGAGGTAACTCAAACATATCACTCTCCCTACATTGTCTTATAATGAGGTCAACATTATTTGCTTCCCTTCCAAGAACCTGTTTCAAAGCCGTATGTTTCACAAGATTCTTCAATAGCTGCTCTCGAATTCGACCAGCTTCCACTTCAGCTTTACTCTTATTCTCATTTCTTGTAGCCTGTAAAAACAGAACATGATAAATATACTGCTATATATTCTCTATTTCTTTAAAGCTGTGCAGGTGTAGCATCTACAGTAGAGGTGGACAAAAATTTTTGTTTGAAGGCCAAATGAGAAGCTTTAAATGTCTTGCTTAGCTCAAAAAAGGTAATATTAAGTCATATGGAAATAATTACTTTGAAGTATCTTCAAAATCAACAAAAATTGGTAACTGACTAAAATGATTCATTATCAGTCCTCAGCAAATTAATGTGGACAGATCAAACTGCTTATAGCTGCTGATAAATTGGTGTAAATGATTATGACGGAGTCTGTGAAACTGCAGTCAAATGTTCATCTGTATTTCGTATTCTTAAATCTGATTTGTTTAATTTCATTAAAAAAAGTTTCTTCATGGATGTGCATGGATGCAAAAATTGCTATAATCTCTCCAAACTCTTTGAAATTGTTGCTTTTGGAATAACATAACACTCCAAAAGAACTTTGCATACTTCACAGAATTGAAGTTCTCTTTTAGTCCTTTATTACACTGCAGGTCAGTCAGTTCCACCTGAAGATTACTGTCAGACTTTTCAATATCAAAGGAGAAATGGCTAGTCAGGAGATGAATTCTGATTTCTACACTAAGGCTGACAACCTTACCACCATATGTGAGCCAACTGTCTAGAGAAAGTGTGAGAGCCTCAACATCTCACAACCCTATGGACCCTCAGGGCCTGTTACAGGGACAACTTTACTTTCTTTTTACACTCTTGATATCTTTAGCTCTACAGAACTCTTCATGTAGTTTGCTATCAATGTTACTGCACTTACCAGCTGCACCAGAACTCATTTTTTTTTTTCATTAAGCACAAAAATGTGAAAATGTACTTCTCTTATCATCTTTTGTGACCAAAACCAGTTCTGATGAGTTCTGTCTTCTGGTATATAACATTACATTCTTACAGTAAATAATATTATTGCAGAAGTAAGTTCAACACCCTTGAAACAGAGAACCAGAAAAATAAATAGAGAAACCATTGCTCAACTTCAACATCTATTAGAAAATGAAACGTGGAAACCTATTTTCAAAAATAAGGATACAAATTATAAGTTTAACTCTTTTTTTATATATTTTTCTAAATATCTCTGAAGCCAGTTTTCCTATGCAAAATAAAAGTGTAAGTAGAAAAAAAAACCACTGGATTACACAAGAAATAAAAATATCTTGTAAACATAAAAGGCATCTGTATGTAGACAGCAGGAGCAGTAATAATCCCTACATGAGAACATACTACGTAAGGTACTGCAAAATCCTGAGTAGAGTTATAAAAGAGGCTAAAAGGCAGCATTACTGTAGGCTTAATAGCCAAAACATGTAACAGAGCTGAAAATTGTCTGACCTTGATATTAGTTGTGTTGTGACGGATATAATAAAAAGGCTGTATACTGTACCACAACAGGATGCATGAAATGAAAATCATGAAATTTTATTAACTAAATTACATTTTTTTTTTTTTGGCATTCAAGGAACAATGTTACGTTGGTTCAGATCCTACCTAACAGATAGAAAACAAAAGATTGAAATAAAATCATCAAATTCAATCCAAAGTACCTAATCAAACTGGGGAATAATAAAATATGGAGTTTCACAGGGGTCAATTTTGGGGCCTTTCCTTTTCATAATGTATATAAACAACCTCCCTCCTACACTAAGGACCTCACCAATACCTATAATATTTGCAGATGACACTAGTGTTATAATTTCTCGTAAAAATTTATGATTTCTGCACGTTATCAAGCAAGGTTCTTTCGCAAATGAGTAAATGGTTTTCTGCAAACAAGCTGTCCCTGAACCTAGAAAAAACAAATGTAATAAAATTTATAACAAAAAACTCACCAAAATATCCATTAAACATAGGATATAATGATAAAAATATAGAGGAGGGAGTACATACAAAATTCCTTGGCTTGCAAATTGATATTCATTTAAATTGGAAAAATCATATCAATCAGTGGATTCCAAAGTTAAGTAGAGAATGTTATGCAGTTAGATTCATGTTACATATTAGTAACATTGACACTCTCAAATCAGTCTATTCTGATTATTTTCACTCTTTAATGAAGTGTGGAATAATCTTCTGGGGTAATTCATCTGACAGTAAAAAGGTATTTACATTGCAAAAGAAAATTCTTAGAATCATGATGGGTGTCAAATCCCGTAATTCCTGTGGAGATCTATTTAAGAGACTACAAATCTTAACTCTGCCTTGTGAATATATATATTGATTAATAAACTTCATTACAAATAACGAACATTTTCAGATGAATGTGGATGTACACAGTGTTAACACAGGACACAAACACTGTCTTCATAAACCAACTGCTAACCTCTCATGCTTTCAAAAAAGCGCATATTATGCTGGGATCAACATTTTTAACCCTTTGACGTTGTCATTTAAATTCCGCGGCCGCGGCTCCTGCGGTAATATATTCAGCCGGCCATTTAAATTTTGCTCGAAAATTATTTATTCATCATTGTTCTTAAATTCTATGAGATAGGAACATGAAACTTTCACTAAAATGATCTTAAATTGTGGTTTTATAACCTTACCTTATAATATGGGAGCCCTGTATCTCGGCCATGGGTGCAGGTTGTTTAGTATTTGAGCAGTGAATGGTACGCCTTGAAGGATGAAACTTTCACTAAAATGATCTTAAAAGATGGTTTTATAACCTTGCCTTATAATATGAGCACCCGGTATCTCGGTGGTGGTTCAGAATTTGAGCGGAGTGTTACACGCATTGAAGCATTCTACTATAGACAGCGCTGACTCACATCACCATACCAGTACTGCGTATCTCTCATTTGGCTATTTTTTCCGTAAACAAAACATCTTCTGTGAGGCCCTGCCTTCTTCCCCGTGGGGGGAATATAAGAAGAAATGTCTCTCCGTGAGTCGTATCGCTACCCAGATTAGCTGCAGTAAATTCGACCTTCATGTTATCATAACAAGTGTTGGTGCTTCTGCGTTTCATTTTCCATCCATTTTGGCGGCATAAGACGTCGTAGGGGTGACCACAGAATTCATGAAGTTATTCTAAGAACTGGCTGGTATGTAGTGAACGAAAGCAGAGCTTAGCTGGCTCAAAAAAATATTTATGGTCATCCCTCGAAACGACCACGAAGGTCAGTACGATAAAATGGCGTCAACTGGAGCGATAATACATGAAGGAATGAGTTCTTTCCCTCCCCCACACACATCCGTATCGTCTCAGGGGGTGACCACAGTGTTCTGCCTTAATTCGTGACGTTTTTCTAAGAACTGGGTGCTATATACTGTGCGAAATCAATCGATCGTGCAACAATAAAGTTTTGGACATCCCTCTTCTAAGAATTCCAATTGAGTGTGTTAGTGTCGCCAGCTCAGGGCAATATGATATTATAAACACAAGCACATATCACGTCTCTTCTGTTTATAAGTTCATAAGAAACAAAACAGGCCTTTCATGACAGGAGAACGGAGAAACCTCTCCCAAGAGCAACAGGAACTTTGCTGCAAGACAGGCATATGTAACGATGACTTGGCGCAGATAAAGTCGTGTCTTATTTATACTCTGTTCTACTGACAACAGGCCAGCGAAAAATCTAACAATCTACAGCAAAACCATCAATTATTATGGGCGTTATAACGTAGGTGTGCAGCAGGACGAAACATACACGTCGAACCCCCCAGACGATTTAAATCCCTGACGAAACATACACGTCGAACCACGGCAACGGGTTAATAACTCGCCATCTGATCTCAGAGGTCTCATGAACGAAAAGGCACAATTTAAAAAAGCACTGAAATGATACTTAAAAACACATTCATTTTACTCTGTTGATGAATACCTATTGTCTAGAAAATAACTTATGTATCTTTAAAAAGCCTTGTGTGTAGTCACTGTGTATTTTTGGTTTCTCTTGTGTGAGAACTACATTGGGTCTGTACATATGTTTTGTATTTATATGACATATTCCACATCCTACAGTCATTTTGACTAACTTTGGATCCATGGAATGCAAATTAATACAATGTAATGTAAAGTAATGTAATGTAATTAGTCACTGAATACTGGGGTGATGTGGTACATCAGTATATTCAGCATCCATATCTCATAGCAGGCACATAAACTATCAATGGTTCAAAGCTCTTGCTCACATTTAATTCACAGGTTTCACAGCTGTACCTATTGCATGGTTCACACTCAAAGCAGTCTTTCAGAGTACTGACACTAACTTCATGGAGCTGAACCCTTCCTGAGAAGCTGCTACTTGTGCAGCTACTTAAGAATTTCCCAACATTTTATGGAATCCAAAGGTTCATTATCATGTTCACAAGAGCCCTCCACTGGTCCCCATCCTAGGACAGATCAATCCAGTCCACACCACCCAATTCTATTACTCTAATATCCATTTTAATATTACCCAACCACCCACATCTTGATCTTCCTAGTGGTCTCTTTCCTTCCAGCACTCCCACCAAAATCCTACATGCAGTCCTCTTTAGCCCCACCCATTCTACATGTCCTGTCCATCTCATACTCCTTGACTTGATCACTGAAATTATACTCGGTGAAGAGTACAAATGATGAAGCTCCTCAGGATGCAGATTTCTCCAACCTCCTGTCACTTCATCTCTCTTTGGACCACATACTCTCCTGAGCACTCTGTTCTCAAACACCCTAAGTCTACATTCCTCCCTTATTGCTAGAGACAAAGTTTCGTACCCATACAGAACCACAGGAATAATTACAGTTTGTATATTCTAATGTTTACATTTTTAGACAGCAGACATTAAAGACATTAAAGACATTAAAGACAAAGGGTTCTGGGCTAAACATTACCAAAATTCAGTCTTTTCTTAATTTCCTCCTGTATCAAATTTTGATTTCTCACTATCATTCCAAAATATCTTAACTCTGCCATATCTGTTAGCTACCTTCATGTCATAATCTTGCCCTGCATTCTGGTGA